ATGTGTATGTATGTGTATGTATATATGTTTGTATCCTATACATATGTATAGGATACATGTACAGGAAAATAAGTCTGTATTGCTGTATCTGCTTTGAATCTATATACTTTAAGTAGTTTAATTTAAGTTTAACTGTTAAGTTATGATAAGAAGGGGCTTTCAAATTCTGTGCTTGTGCTTTTTGTTTTTTGTTTTTTTTTGTTTGTTTTTTCTTTTTTTAATGAAACTACTTTTTTTGTTATTTTATTGGTCTTGAACGCACCGTCAATTGACGAGTGCCACTGTAACAAAAGTGTAAGCTCAATAAATTTTTCCTAAATAGTAGGCCTAAACGTTAATTCAATATATTTCACTCCTGTAACTATTGAAGAGGTAGATAAAACTATATCCTCATTTTTTAAGTCCAATAAATCCCCTGGTATTGATAATTTTAGCTCTAAAGTCATTAAAAATGTCATTTTCAAATCTGGTTCCAAATCGGATCTATCAAATTATCGTCCTATCTCTATTCTATCCATCTTCTCGAAAGCTTTAGAAAGAATTATATATGACAGAACATTTAATTTTATTAATAAATATAACATATTATACAAACATCAATACGGTTTTAGAAAAAAAATATAACACATCTATGGCTCTTATTGAATTAACAAATAAAATTGTGGATGCCTTTAAAAATAACCATATCGCAATAGGAGTATTTATTGATCTTTCTAAAGCTTTCGACACCATTGACAACGAAATTCTTTATTTAAGTTATCACATTATGTCATTCGGGGCCCCTCGTTAAACCTATTTAAAAGTTATCTTTCTAATCGTTTCCAATGTACCAAATTCGTTTCTAACTTCTCACTTATTACATGTGGTGTTCCCCAGGGTTCATTATTAGGTACTCTTTTATTTATTCTGTATATTAATGACATTTACCGATTCTCTCTTTCTTTCTTTATGCTAATGGCACAACTGTTTTTTATTCAACCAATAATATTCAATCACTTTTTGACCGTTAATGAGAATCTGATCCTTATGTCCCAATACTTTGCTAGTAATAAACTTTCTATTAATCACAAAAAATGCAGCTTCATTCTGTTTAGGAGCCCTCAAAAGAATCGGTTTATTGACTCCTCCTCCCTCAATATTTGGATAGATAATTTCAAAATACCTTCTGTTAAAAGTGCTAAATTTCTTGGAGTTTTCCTCGATATCTGAGCTATTTTACTAATACTTACCCATCTAATCTTCACAAACTCGTAATTCTTCAAAAAAAAGGCCATCAGGACTATATCTGGCGCACCACCTAGATCCCACTCTTCTCCTTTATTTAGTAATCTAAACCTTCTTAATTTTAACGATATTAATCTTATACAACAATGTGTCTTTTTATATTCTTCTGTTAATTTTCTACTTCCTAGTCATTTTTGTCATATCTTTAAGTCTAATCTCTCTATGCATGAACATTTCACTCGATCTAGGTACTTTTACTGTTAGTGCATACCGTGAATTATGACCACCGTGTTAGTGTTGTACAGTTTTCTGTCTCAGTCGGATGTCTAGAAATGTTGGCCTGTTGCACAAAGTCCGAGAAATAGCTTCCAAGCCCGACTCGGTTGAAACATGGAAGAACCTTTAAGAGAAAATAATTGATAAAAATAATAGTTAGTTTAAAATTAAGTTGCTTGTAAAGAGGCATATATATAAACATTATTGGTCTAATATCATGAACAAATAACTCGTACAATACAAACAAGTTTTTCAATAGTTATTGGAGAAGATCATAACATATGAAATACGGTCTAGGTCAACTGCATGTTGTAAAGTTATAAAATTTAAAATGATCAAAAACTTTATCAACTTCCATCCAGACAAAGATTGAAACAATTTAGTTTTAATTGATTTACAGACTACAACAATAACACCAAAAGCAAAGACAAATACGAATGTGCCACCAGTTATGTGGTGAGTTTATATTTATTTAAGATAGACAATTTTAGATGAAGGTCAATAGGTGTGGGTGGGGGAAAGGGGGAGGGGGTCCGACAAACTTTTTAAGCAATGAGACGTTTGAAATGGTCTCATTTTAATAAGGCTTTTGGGAGGAGGAATAAAATACAGGTTTAATTTTACTATCCACAATTTTATTCCCCTATTTCTTTGCTGGTCTTGAGCTTCGTTCTCTTTCTGTGACTCGGTTACATTTCACCATTTGATGGCAACAGCATGCCTGTTTTTAGATAGTTAAAAAATATATAAAACCTAACTCATGAACTTCCGTGTGTTCGCTGAACCGTAGAGATCTCTTGGTCTCCGGTTTAATTCCCATCACTGCTTTTCTCGTTATTCCCTACAGTAGCTTTCAGAAATATCTTAATACGCATTATTGTTTAGTTTTAACGTTTTAATTTGAAACTATTCCCAAAAGAATAGAGGTTGGGTCATCAAAGTTGACAAGATATGTGTTTGTCACCATATCAACAAGTTTGGGTTCTAAAGGAATAATCCACGAGCTAAAAGCGCAAAGCTTTTAATAAGCCTGTAGATGACGAGAACACTTGGCGTCTTTATGTCTCGGCGAGGTTTATAGAATTTGTTGCATTTTAAGGGCTCTACAAATACACTCAACTATTTATTAATTCCCATTAAGGGATAGGTCTACATTGAATACGTATCGAGTTCACTAATAATCTGAAATACCATTGGCCTTCTGTTAACAAATATTTTAAACAAATATGTGCATAACTCTGTGGGCCTATGTCACATGGATCGAGTCAAACAATAATTCACATACAACGTTCATGCCATTTGATTTAATTTAATTCGGAAATCTCTGAGAGTCTGTGAACGTGATTACGGTCAAATAGTTGTTCTCCTGTCTCTTAT